TGCCCCCCCGGCGGCGGGCCCCCCCCCCCAGTGGGGGGGCGCCGGCCAGGCCGTTCCCGGCGCGGCTAAAGGAGAAGGCTTTTTGACACTCGCCTAGGGAGAACTAGTTCACATTTCCATATATCATATCTATTTTTAATCAGAATATGCATTACAACATTTTGTGTAGCTCTTTTTAAAATTTTTTAAAAATTTTATTTATTATTTATTCATTTGTTCATTTCAATTTGACCAGAGAGGGACAGAGAGAGAGAAAGAGAGAGAGAGAAAGCAAGCCTCCAGGTCCAGGACTTGGACCACAGTTGGCCATGTGGGAATCCAGCGCCTTTAACCACCATGCCACCTGCCGGCCCCAAAATCATGCACTCGCTGAGAGAGAGTGAGATGGACTCGATGCCGCAGTCCTCCAGCCTCCATAGGTTTTTGCCATAGGGCGGGCACCACCACGCCCTATATAGCTCTTTACAATTTATTAAATAACATTACTTTTAGTTTAAATTTCTTACGATTTCAACCTAAACTTCTCCCATTCTTTTCTTTTCTTTTTTTTTTTTTTTTTTGGAGAGGTTTTTGCTATAGGGCGCGTGCACTCGCCAGACAGACAGAGAGAGACATAGAGACAGAAAGCGAGAAATCACCCCCCAGGGGGGATGGTCACGCCGCAGTCCCTTCTCTTCCATTCTCCTCTTTGGATCTTGGGCATGCACTCACACGCGCCCAGCATGAGTTTTAAGCCACCGGGTCTGGGACGCGAACCGCGGTTGACTACGTGGGAGTCCAGCGACATAGCCATTACGCTAACTGCTAGTTCCCCATTCTTTTCTTTTTTTTCTTTTCCATAACTGGAACCTGTTCTTAATATAATTTTACCCTATCCCTTTTTATTCATAGACCCTGTTGTCCAGCACTTTCGTCTATGTATTACTTTTATTTTATTTTTAGTTTTGTCATAGGGCATGTACGCTCACCAGAGGGAAAGTGAGAAGTCACCCCCTGGAGAGATGGCCACACCATAGTCACTGGTCCTGTGTTCTCCCCATGGAACTTTGGGCACAGATGTACACATGCCCCATGTGTTCTTCAAGCCACAGGGCCTGGTACTTAGACTGCACAGTTGGCCATGTGGGAGGGATCCAGCTGCCTTCATGCCATCTGCTGGCCCCAGATAATCACTAAAACCCAGTTCAGTTGTGCTCATTTCTCAGCACTGTCATGCTACCTCTCACTAGGACAGAGGTCAAGTGAGTAGAGAAGATCAAAATGCCATCCTTGCTTTATAAACTGTAGCTCTAAGACATTTGTTAGCTCACTTCTGTGATCTTCTTGATATTATAAAATGAGGCCCAGATGCAGTGGTACAGGGTCTGCAGTGCTAGAAGCCACGTGCAGGGTCTGGGTTTGGTTCCTGGTCCAGCTGGTGTACGTGCACACCCTTCGCCTCATCTGGCTGAAGGGCTGTGAGGAGACAGGGAACTACAGTGAAGGGCCCTCTCGAAGGCACTTGTCTTTCTCTCTTCCTCAAGAAATACTTTATTTAATAACAAAAAAGGACTTGTTGGTGAACTTGGAAGTAAAAACTAGAAAGTATAAAAGTACGTTCCAGAGCCATATTAGCGGTCATAAACATGAACACTGATTAGAGTGCTATGACTGATATGATACTACAGTTCTCCTCTCTGGAAAATGAATGGATCTCTTGAGTTATTTATTTGTTAATAAGCTAGACACGGATGGATGTTTGCATGTTTATACACTATACATGAATGATTCTGAATTCTGTCTAACAGTGTGTTTTCTTTTTTAAAAAAGGGTGACTGTGACAAAACTTATGGATCAGAATTTGTCTACAGTGATCATGCCAAAGAACTTATTGTGGGGGAGATTTTTGTTAGGGTGTATAATGAAGTCCCTACCTTCCAACTAGAGGTAAACTCGCTGCCTTTAATTTTGTCTCATACCTTTGATTATTTGTTTGCAGAAAGCTGCAAGTTTGTTTATACTGTATATATTGAAACACTTGTTCTTAACCAAATGGTTTATAATAAATAACCTGGGTAAGTATATGATGGGGTGACTGGTTGATTCTTTATGTTGATTGTTAAGGAACTGAATTTAGTAAAGTTCATGAATAAGAAGATACTTTTTACACAGATGGTCTTTATATTTTATGTATTGTTCGTATTGTTCTGCCACTGTGCTGTGTATACATGCCTCCAGCTCACTACGCCCTTCATATCTTACAAAGCCAGTCACACACACACTCCATCATGTGAGATATCAGACCAGTCATTTCTCTAGTTAATCATTAGGAGAAAATATGAAAGTATAGGTTGGGGGCCAAGAGATTTTTTTAGAAGACGACTAACTAAGGTCACACATCAGATCATTTCTAGTGGTCGTCCCTAACTACTTCCAGAAGCAAATGAGGAATTTCTTTGCTTCTTGGTGTTTGGGAGTCTAGTGGACATTTTTTGTCATAGAGGTTTATTTTGTTTTGTTTCTTTTTGTTTTGTTTGGGAGTGGATGGCAGGAATGATTTGGTGGTTGAATGGTTTGTTAGAAGAGAAGAAGTAAGGCTTTGTTTTAGAGTTTGTTCCCTTTTTTTTGGAGAGATTTTTTGCTAAAGGGCACATGTGCTTGCCAGAAATAGAGAAACAGAGACAGAAAGCGATAAATCACCCCCTGGGGGGATGACCACACCGCAATCCCTTCTCCTCCATTCTCCTTTCAGGATGTTGGGCATGCACACACACGCGCCCGACGTGAGTTTAAGCCACTGGATCCAGGACTCAAACCGTGGTCGACTATGTGGGAGTTCAGTGACATAGCTGTTAGGCTAACTGCTGGTCCCTAGAGTTTGTTCTTAAAAAAGGAGAATTTACTAAACCAGTGTATACTATTTTTCACAGAATAAAGTATATTGGATTATTGGAAAAGTCTTAATGTATTTTTCTATGAAAAAATGCATCATGAATTTTCTGACAACCCAATATACATAGCTATTAGGCATCATCAGTTAAGTAATTTGCAAAATCCCTCTGAAAACTGATTTGTGAAATCCATTTAAATTTATATCTTAAATATATATATTTTTGGGACCAGCAGATGGTATAATGGCTATGTCACTAGACTCCCACGTAGTTGACCACAGTTCAAATCCCAGACTCAGAGGCTTCAACTCAAGCTGGGTATGTGTGTGTGTGCGTGCCTAAAGTCACAAGAGCAGAATGGAGGAGAAAGGATTGTGTGGCATGGCCATTCTCCTGTGGGGTAATTTCTTGTTTTCCTTCTTTCTGTCTCTTTGATGAGTGCATGTGTCCTATAGCAAAAAATCTCTCTTTAAAAAATAAATGCCTAAATATAATTTTAATGATAAAAGTAAAACCCAATTGTAGAAATTATATATCATATTATCAGCTACTATACATAGACACTGATGAAAATATAATAGATCTCTGAAAGTTGAGAAACACTTTTTAATGCAACTAGATTTTGCTTTCTGCCCATTCCCCCACCACTTAATTCATAGATGTATTCTTGTGTGTGTAGAGTTTAATCTTGCTTACTTGCTTTCATAGTGTGAAGTTGTTCTTTTGCATGGAATCTTTGTTATTTCTGAGGGCACACACATTTTCATGTGTTCATCTGCTTGATTCAGGTTCCGAAAGCATTTGCTGCAAGTCTCCTGGATTATATAGGCTCCCAGGCCCAGTACCTTCACACCTTCATGGCCATCACACATGCTGCCAAAGTGGAGTCAGAGCAACACGGGGACCGCCTGCCAAGGGTGGAGATGGCTCTGGAGGCTCTGAGAAATGTTATAAAGTATAACCCAGGTCTGTGGTTGTACCTTGAACAGTAAGACCTTTATAGCAGAGAAAGCCTAAAGATTCCAATTCTTGATTTTATTAAAGAAACTAAGGGGAAATTATACTTGTATAATGTTATATTGGATATAATATCGAGGGGAATTAACACCATAATATTTTTACCCATAAACAGTTGGGGAGAGGTCAAAGCTCCATGTTTGAAAGAATTCACATCTTTGAGAGAAAATGAGTTTAAATGAGCTGAAAAGGTAGAATAATTTGATAAAATAAAGTTCACATTGGTGACCAGTTCACATACCAAGTGTAGGTACTTGAATTAGATTTCCTTATTGGGTAGTCGGGTTTCTGCCTCTTCTCTGGTCTCCATGTGACACAGTACTGTGTGCTTTTGGGCACTGATATTTTGGAAAAATTTGCTCGTAGTTTTTTGTGTGAAAATTGAAATAAAAAAAGAGGTGAGAAGTTCCTATTCTTAAACATCTTTTAAGAGGACATTTTTGAAAATATCACTACAACTTGACCCCAGGAAGATTGGATGAATGAAAAATTTTTAAGAATTATTTTACTGGGACCAGCAGGTAGCATCATGGCTGTGTCGCTGGACTCCCACGTGGTCAACCGCGGTTCACCCATGGCTTAAACTCACGCCGGGCGCGTGTGCGTGAGTGCCCAGGATCCTGAGAGGAGAATGGAAGAGAAGGAATTGCGGTGTGGCCATTCCCCCGGCGGGTGATTCTCGCTTTCTGTCTCCCTGTCTCTCTCTGTCTGCCCCCCTGCTCTATAGCAAAAAAAAAAAAAAAAAAAAACCTCTCCACAAAAAAAAGAAATTGTTTAATTTATTTTAATTTATTTGTTTTAATTTGACCATGGATAGACAGAATAGTGGGCAGTGAGAAAGCAAGCTGCCAGGTCCAGGACTTGAACCGTGGTCGACCATGTGGGAGTCTAGCGCCCTTAACCACCATGCCACCTGCTGGAACCACAGATTAATGAAATTCTAAAAGCCTCTTCTAACTTTGATAACTTGATTTGATAATAGATATAGAATGTAAGACCTAAAACTATGCAAATTCAATTTTAATAACTTCAAGATCCAAGATCTTTTCAATAATACTGAACATTATCTTTTGGTTAACTTTTTGTTCTTTTCACCGTATGCTAAGGTAACATTAAAATTCTGACTTTTTGATTTTTGCCCCCAAAAATATTTAAATAACCAACAGTAATTAAATGCTAGGAAAATTGCTTATTTACAAGATGTACAGTTGGAGGTTATTAAAGACAGTGTTATAAAATCCCAAGAAATCCTTTCTTGAGATTTTTTGCTATAGGGCATGTGCACTCACCAGAGAGAGAAAGTGAGAAATCATCCCCTGGGGGCATGGCCATACCACAGTCTTGACTTCTCTATTTTCCTCTCAGTTATTTTGGCACATGCAAACACACCTGGCATAAATATCAAACTGCAGGATCCAGGACTTGAACTGTGGTCCGTCATGTGGGAGTAAAGCACCTTAACCGCTATGCCACCTGCTGACCCAAAAACTTGGTTTGTATCATTTGGAGTTGGCATAGTAGAACATCACTAGTAGTAATAAGCAAATTGCAGCAAAACATGCTATCGATGAGACTTGTAAAAATTGAGGAAGGACCTGAATAAAGATTTTATTTTGATAGTGACTGGAAATTTTGTGTATTAATATTGAAATTACATGCTCTCCTAAAATTTAGAAGCATGATTTGTGTATTATTGATGTATTTATGACAGTTCTTACTTATAGGTGCTTTGTAAGTGAATTTAAAATCCGGGTTTTTTTTTTTTTTTAATTTCATTTTATTTATTTATTTATTTATTTAAATTTGATCAGAGGGGAAGAGAGAGAGAGAAAGTGAGAAAGCAAGCTGCCAGGCCCGAGACTTGAACTGTGGTCAGCCATGTGGGAGTCCAGCCCCCTTATCTACCACACCACCTGCCAGCCCCAAAGTCAGTCTGTTCATAGACTATTTCATTCTTTAAGTTTAGGCCATTTCAGTGACACCTGATAAGACCTCTGAAGGTCACAGATTGTACAGTACTGCCTTACTGCTGTGCAGGAGAGGAGATGTACGCTGGCCGAGATAGAGTGGTAGTGACTGTGTAGAATTGGAATTTGAGGTGGGCAGAAATGGAAATACCACTTAGATGTTACGGGCCCTTTGTGTGGGCACATCAGTGTGTGTAATACAGTCTTCAAGTGGCAGAACTCTAACCCCCTGTTACGTAAAAGCCAAATGATGTTGAACTGTTCCAATATATAATTAGGTTGGAAGGGTAGCTCCAAGTTCTAGAGGTAAAAAGTAAAATTACTACCTTTCAATTTTCAATCTGTTTTCAGGTTATTTATTTGATAGAATTGTTGTTCACAGCCTGTATTAGGATAGGAAGGGAATGAAAACAAAATTGATCTAAGAGACTAATTTCTTTATTTTTGCCCTTTAAAGTTTACTTCTGTCTAGAGATGCTCTACTCATTTAATGTCACAAATGTTTGGGAAGGGTTATCAGAGACTTAAAATTTACAGTATACAATGCTGTATACTAGTTGTCTGAAGGTCTATAATTTAGAACATCTCTTGGAAATAAAAAGTAACCATGTTATTTTGACACCCTAGGCTCTGAAAGTGAATGCATTGGGCATTTCAAGCTGATATTCTCTCTCCTTCGAGTTCATGGAGCTGTTCAAGTGCAACAGTTGGCTTTAGAGGTAAAAGTGCTCCACAACAAAGCATGCTGCCGGCCCTCTCACTTCCCGCACAGGGTCGGAGCTTCCACCTGCCGTCATTGGGAGTGTGCACGTGGTTTATGTTGCCTGTTAGAACAAAGGAATGTTTTACAGTTTGAATCAACAAATTTAGAAGACTGAGTGTTGCATGATGTCTTTCAAAATAGTTCCTTTATGGGACCAGCAGATGGTGTAATGGCTATGTCGCTGGACTTTGATGTAGTCGACCAGGGTTCAAATCCCAGACCCTGTGGCTTAAACTCACACCTGGTGCAGGTGCATGCTTGCCCAAGATTCCGAGAGGAGAATGGAGGAAAAGGGATTGTGACATGGCCATTCCCCTAGGCGGTGATTTCTCACTTTCTGTCTCTCGATCTCTGTCTTTTTGGTGAGTGCACGTGACCTATAGCAAAAAAAAACTCTAAAAAAAAAATAGTCCCTTTATTGTCATCACCATGCATCTGAAGCCTGGGATATGCAACACACCGTGGGGTGCTGGTAAGGACAGAGCCTTACTGGGGAAGCCCAGGTGCTATAATCAGCAGAGGAGGAGGCAGGGTTTCCCCATCTCTGTCCTACAGAGGGATATGTTCAGGCCAGGACACTCTGCTGCTACATACTGTCAGTTTGCATTCCAGAGAACTGACCCTTCCCTTCCCTCCTCAGTTGCTCTCCTTTTGTATAGATCTAATGTACAAGCAGCCTTTCCGGTAAGAGTTATGTAAAGACAAACACCTAGGTGTGTTGCTGTTCATTTAGTTGGGTTAAGCCAGCTGGCCAGAATGTATGGATCTTAAGGAGAATAAAGTCACTGGTCCCATAGAATGCCATCTGGGTAGGCTTTTCCTCTGAGAGAAGCTGGAAGTGCTTGGTCACAGGCAGTTCTTTGTCCAGGCAACCCAGAATTAGTTCCTAGGATCATTTTTCAGATGACTTTGTTCTTTGTAAGAAGCACATTTTATTTCAAAGAATACTACAACCCTGTGGTATGAGCAGTTTATGAATAATTTTATATCATCTTAGATTACATTTTGACTTTTAAAACATATTTTTAATAGAATAATGGAAGTTAAATGGGTCAGAAAGTTTAACAGGCCTCTTCTTTTAACTAAGAAACATACTCTTACTTATTTCAAGTGTCTTGTTACTTTAAAAAAAAAAAACTTTCTTAAATGGGGGTCAGCAGGTGGCGTGGTGGTTAAGGGCACTGGACCCCCACATAGCCAACCACAGTTTGAGTCCCAGACCTGGCAGTTTTTTTTTTCTCTCTCTCTTTCTCTCTCTCACTCACTCACTGTCACTCTCATTCTCTCTCTCTCTCTCACTGTCAAAATGAAATACATGAATAAATAAAGTTAAATAAATTAATTTTAAAAAAACTTTGTTAAATATAAGGCACATTACTCTGAGATGCTGACCCACATGGCTCAAGTTGTGACACTGGTGTATACTGTAAAAGATAGACTTCAGAAGTCATCTTTATTGGGACCAGGTGGCATTGTGATTGAGGCGCTGGATACTCCCACATCGCTGACCACAGTTCAAGTCCTGAACCTGGTGGCTTGCTTTCTCGATTTCCCTCTCTTTCTCTCTCTCTCTGTCTGTCACACTCTCTGGTCAGGTTGAAATATATAAATGAATAAATGAAATTAAATGAATAATTCTTTTAAAAAAGAATTTAAAAAATGAGTCATCTTTGAAAGGAAAACATGCTTAACTTTTTTATATTGATAACATGAAGATAGATGCAATCTGTTGTCCTGGTTACTGAAGACACTGCTTAGGAAGACGTTTACTTTCTCCCTCTAGAAACAAGCTGAAGTCTCAGTAGTGAAGATATTACCTTCCTGTCTTATCACCGTAACCCAGATCTGTGGTTGGAAAACAGTGTAGTGTGCACCATAGTTCTAGTGCATGTACTGGCATACAGTAGGCTTCCGGGAAACCTCAGTGAATTATTTCTCAAGCGATCAAAATACTAAAGCCAATCTTTTAAATCCCGAGAGGAGAATGGAAAAGAAGGGATTGCGGCGTGGCCATCCCCCCTGGGGGGTGATTTCTCGCTTTCTGTCTCTGTGTCTCTCTCTGTCTGGCGAGTGCACGCGCCCTATAGCGAAAAAAATCTCTCCAAGAAGAAAAAAAAAGAAAAGAAAAAAAAAATACATCATGACTTTCCTGGCGACCTAATAGCTTGGTCTCCCTAATTTATCTGTTACATAAATTAATAAAATGATATTTCTTTCATGAAAAATTGGAAATTTCCAGTGAGGAAAATCTAAAGCAAAGGAAAATAAGCCTGGGAGTTTTAATTTATTGTGTATAATCTATATATGAGTAAATGAGAACTAAATCCTATTGTATGGTTTATGAAAAATAATAATTGGTCCTAGATGATAGAAAATATGCTATACCACTGATGAGCTGTGAAACCTTGGGCTGGTTAAACTAGGCCTCAGCTGTTCATTCATAACATGGCCATGAGGATACCTGCTTCCCTGGTTATCAGGAAGTAGAAATGAAGAGTAAATATGGTACCTGTGTAGAACCTCACGTCAAGTGCCACAGAGTTGATGCTCAGTTAAGTATAAGTTAGCACAACAATGCATTCCTTGAAATGTCTTTTTGTAGGTCGACAGCTTGTTCTGGAAACTCTTTATGCTCTGACATCAAGTACAAAGATAATCAAAGAAGCAATGGCAAAGGGTAATGTGCACCTCGCTTTCTCATCTGATCATGTTCAGTGTGATGACGCTTTGAGTGGTTTTGTACAGTCTGGTAATGTAGAAGTCTTTGGAAGGCTTATACTTTTAAAAACAATCAAACTATGTTTAGTTAAAGCAAAGATGAAAATGATTTTTAATGATCAGATTTATGTATAATCACTAGTTATTTTTCTTTCATAGGAGCTTTGATTAATTTATTGGATATGTTCTGCAGTTCAACACATCTGCAAGTGTGAGTCCAAACAGCAGAGCTTTTTGCTAAAATGACAGCGGATAAACTAATAGGTCCAAAGGTGAGCACAAAATGAGTTTTTGGGAGGAAATTAATGATTAAATCCTGGTTACTTTGATTCTGATTTCATGGAGTTCAAGTGTGAGGTATTGAGGATAAGAAGAGGAATTGATGTGCAGGCCGAACAACTGACATCCCTGAAATCGTGCCTCTGTGTTAGAATTTGAGAAAGCCTTAGTAAAGGAAGCCTATACCAGAATTGCAAAGTCTAAGAGGGCTTTGGGCTGTTGAGTTAAATTGTTGATCTTCCTTGAGTAGAGAAAAAGAGCATATGTAGGTTCTGAGAGAGTAGAGGTTAGACGCACCCTAGAAGGCTGTCCTGTGGAAGTACGTGATGACAGAGATGGGGATCTGTGTCTTCTGCAGCGCCCGTCTGAGTGAGGACAGGCCATCTGGGAGAGTGAGGCTGCGTAAGTGCACGCAGGTGCTGGCACCTCTGCCTCCTTTCTCTGAAGGAAGATCTTTTATTCTAAGTCTGGAGATGACCTCATGATCTCTGAAGCCATAGTCCAGATGAAGAAACAAATCTGTTAAAACAGAAGCTTCTGAATAGAATTCCATTCAGACATCGATGTAATCAAAGCCCTCATATTTTGTTAATAAGTCAGCTTTACAAAAAGTAATGCTCACAGGGAACCAGCAAATGGTGTAGTGATTAAGGCACTGGACACTCCCACATGACCGACCATGGTTCGAGCCCTAGACCTGGCAGCTTGCTTTCTCACCGCCCCCCATCTCCCTGTATTTCTCTCTGGTCAAATTAAAATAAATGAATAAACAAAATTAAACAAAAATCTTTTTTAAAAAAGTAGTACTCACTGATGGCATTTTCTGTGCCAGTCTACCAAGCACAGCTCAGAAAGTAGTGGGAGCCATGAAATGAAGGCTTGTGAGTCCACTTCCAGAATGTGATCCCCTGCCCTGGACATTTTTCACCAGCTTCCTAGTGATTCTTTGGGAGCTTGCTGGACTGATACTTGGGAATGATTGCTCAGTGGAGGCCATAAACGTACCTTGGCTTGGATGACAGGTAGTGTGGTGATTGGGGTGCTGGGCTCCCACGTAGCCTACTGTGGTTCGAGTCCTGGACCTGGTGGTTTGCTTTCTCTCTTTATCTCTCTGTGATAATATTGAGGAATAAAATATAATAACAAATGAAATTAAATAATTAAGGTTTGCTTTAGGGCATGTGCACTCACCAGAAAGAGACAGACAGACAGAGACAGAGGAAAACTGAAAAATCAAGTCCCCACCAGGGGGGAAGAGCCATGCCACAGTCCCTTCTCCTCCATTCTCCCGGGGTCTTGGGTACACATGCACACATTCCTGGCATGACTTTCAAGCCACCAGGTCCAGAACTCAAATTGTAGTGAGCCACATGGGAGTCCAGTGACACAGCTATGCCATCTGCTTGGTCCCCAATAAGCACTTTTTGCACCAATAGAACACACTGGATTTAGTTTTTTTGTTTTTTCTTCTTGCTTGATCTTTCAGTTTAGTTATTGTGTATCTGTCATAGGACTAAAAACAGGGTTTTTTTTTTTTTTGGTTTTTTTTTTTTTTTTTTGCTATAAGGCATGTGCGCTCATCAGACAGAGACAGAGAGACAGAAAGCGAGAAATCACTCCCCAGGGGGGATGGTCATGCCACAATCCCTTCTCCTGCATTCTCTTCTCAGGATCTTCGGCACTCACGCACACACGCCCGATGTGAGTTTTAAGCCACCGGGTCCGGGACGCAAACCACGGTCGACTATGTGGGAGTCCAGCGACATAGCCATTACGCTAACTGGAAATTACTCTACAGTAGATTGGACTTTAGAGACCTGCCTCTTTCTACTTATCTTGCCCACTTAATTTTCTCCAGACTTTGTTTTCCCAACCACAAAAGCCAGGGATGAAAGACGCTTGGTCATCTCCTCCCTTCCTGGGCCTCTCCCACTCTGACCTAGAATGAACAGAGTGAATCACTTTGTACCCCTTTTTCTTTGTTAGAACATTACTTGTGATATGTATACCCTTAAGTCCTCCAGGTTAGAGTCTGATTTTTAATGCCTCCTCTTCCATTCTCCTCCCAGGATCTTGGGCATACATGCACACATACCCAGCTTGATTTTCAAGCCACCGGGTCTGAGACTCGAGCTGCAGTCAGCCATGTGGGGTCCAGTGACGCAACCATTATGCCCT